ACTAGCGATGGCCTCCAAGCTACTAGCAACGGCCTCCAACCTACAAGCCATAGCCTGCAACCTAATAGCAATGGCCTCCCGTCTCTCAGTTGCATATTTTTGCATCCTTTTGCTTTTTGTAAAAGGCATCAGGCGGCATGACGTGCATGTTTCACTCGGCAAGTCTGGCGCGTTGTACGGCGTAGTAAGGCTGTTGAGGGCACACACATGCACTTTGCTCCTAGTAGCGAACATTATTACTACTAGTAAGGCACTTGTTACTAGAAGCGATGCACTTGTTCCTAGTAGCGAACGATGTTATTCTTCTTGCATTTTCTGTCCTTTTATAGAATCGTATTGTCTTTTGCTGTTTCACTTTCGTCACTCCATTCTTTTGTTCTTTGACTGGCACATATCTTCATACCTTCTTAGAACTTTCTTCTTTTCCTTTTTTGATCGTTTTTCTTTCTATATTTCTTTCATTTTCTTCAAGGGGATAAGAATTTTAGGCTTCAACATCGTGTGGGTTCAAAGCAGTAAATACAGGGTGCCAACTTGTGCCAGTCGATCTAGGTTGCTTTTGAATATATAGCAATGGCCTGCAACCAACAAGCGATAGCCTCCACCCTAACAGCGGCGGCCTCGAACCCACAAGCGATGGCCTCGATGGCCACCGCTTTAAAGGAAGATTTGAGGCTCTAAGTTAGGACGAAGTAGTGGGCACTTGATTTAGGAGGACAGACTTAAATCATTCTATCTTCGAGATGTGGAAGGAGTAGAGGTAAACAAACGAGCATGCTTCTCAGATTCTATGGAAATAAGATTTGCCAACATGCTAGTTTCAAGAGAATTGGCTGAAGTATCCCCGTTTGCAATTCTGATTTTTCTTATTTTTGTGTTGTTTCTTCCCAGATGAATTTCTTCTCAGAGTTCTGTTGCAGGTCTCCACCTTAGCTTCACCCTTCATGGCCTCGATCCCAGGTCAGATGGCCAAGCGCTACCAATACCTCCTTTCTGGCGTCCGGCACCGCAAAACAGACGGACACGCAGCTGTGGAGCATTTTTTGCAATCCACAATGATATGACTGTATTTTGACAGTTTACCTTCGGATATGCCAAGGCTGTTGCGGTCATTTGTGATGGGATTTTGTTTAGACTATTATGGTCCTGGTGTAGTACCTTAAATTGTGAAGGCCGCAAGGCAAATTTTGAATCCAGCTCTACCCTTGAGTCTTCTTGAATCTAGATTGTGTACTCGTCGAGGTCGTAGGTATTTTCATCATATACCGATACCGATACCGTTTCTAGTGTTACCTACGCATATTGTTGCTCCCAACCGAAAAGCGATTGCCTCAAACCAAAAAGTGATGGCCTCTACCCGAATAGCAATGGCCTCCAACCTACAAGCAATGGCCTCCACCCTAATATATAGCAATGCCCTGCTACAAAAAGCGATGGCCTCCAACCTGATAGCAATGGCCACCAACCTACTAGCGATGGCCTCCACCCTACTAGCGATGGCCCCCAACCTACAAGCGATGGCCTCCACCCTAATAGCCTTCCAACCTACAAGCGAGGCCTCCACCCTAATAGCAATGGCCTCCAACCTACAAGTGATGGCCTCCACCCTACAAGCGATAGCCTCCACCCTAATAGCAATGGCCTCAAACCTACACAAGATGGCCTCCGGCGTCCACCCTATTAGCAATGGCCTCCAACCTAGTAGCGATGGCCTCCAACCTAGTCGCAATGGCCTCCAACTTAATAGCAATGGCCTCCACCCTAATAGCAATGGCCTCCAACCTACAAGGGATGGCCCTAGTAGCAATGGCCTCCAACCTACAAGCGACGACCTCCACCCAAATAGCAATGGCCTCTAACCTACAAGCGATGGCCTCAACCCTAATAGCCATAGCAATGGCCTCCAACCTAATAGCGAGGCCTCCGCTCTAATCGCTAAGCAATGTAGCGATGGCCTCCGCCCTAATAGCCATAGCAATGGCCTCCAACCTAATAGCGATGGCTTTCGCCCTATAGCCATAGCAATGGCCTCCAACCTAATAGCGAGGGCTTCCGCCCTACGAGCCATAGCAATGGCCTCCAAGCTAATAGCGATGGCTTTCGCCCTAATAGCCATAGCAATGGCCTCCAAGCTAATAGCGAGGCCTCCGCCCTAATAGCTAAGCAATGGAGCGATGGCCTCCGCCCTAATAGCCATAGCAATGGCCTCCAAGCTGATAGCGATGGCTTCCGCCCTAATAGCCATAGCAATGGCCTCCAACCAAACAGCGAGGCCTCCGCCCTAATAGCTAAGCAATGTAGCGATGGCCTCCGCCCTAATAGCCATGGCAATGGCCTCCAAGCTAATAGCGATGGCTTCCGCCCTAGTAGCCATAGCAATGGTCTCCAACCTAATAGCGAGGCCTCCGCCCGAATAGCTAAGCAATGTAGCGATGGC